AATGGGAGGCCCAAACTTCACTTATATAATGACCATTTATGTAACTAATTCTGAATTGTACCCCACAGAATTAAAATAAAAAACTTTGAAAAGATGCACAAAATGAGAAGTGTATAAAAGTTTGATGACAGAAATAAAAGGTCTAATAAATGGGAAGATACATGTGTTTTTGGATAGGAAGACTAAATATTGTCAAAATATCAGTTCTTTCCAAGTTGAGCTACAGAGGCAATGCAAAGAAAAATAATGGGAAGTTAGTTTGTATCAATAAACTGATTTTAAAATTTATGTTGGCTGGGCTTGATGGTTCAACCTGTAATCCCAGCAATTTGGGAGACCAAGGTGAGTGGATTGCCTGAACCCACAGGTTCAAGACCAGCTCAGGCAACTTGGCAAGACCTCGTCTCTACAATAAATAAAAAAAAATAGCTGGGTGTGGTATTACATGCCCGTAGTTTGGGCTACTTGGAAGGCTGAGGTGGAAGGATGACCAGAGCCCAGTAGTCCAATGCTGGAGTGGCCGAGAGCATGACACTGACCTCCAGCCTGGGTGAATGAGACTCCAATCAAATAAATAAATAAATAATAATAAAGTTTATGTTGACAAGTAAAAGACTTAAAATTGTCAACACAATACTTAATAAGACAAACATAGACAACTGAAACTACTCAATATTAAGACTTAATATAAAATCAAGTTAATCAAGACAGTGTGATATTGGTTTAAAAACAGGTATAGATGAAAGGAACAAATTTAGATGAAAGGAACAAAGTACAGCAGCCATAAATGAACCAAAACAAATATAATCAATTGATCTTTGACAAAATAGCAATGGCAATACAATGGAAAAGTATCTTTTCAATAGTGCTAAAAAAATGATATTTACAAGAAAAAGTCTAAACACTGACTTCTTAACACATTTCTCAAAAATTAATTCAAAATTGGTCAAGACCTAAACAGAAAAAACTTATGCTTCTAGAGGATAACACAGAATAAAATCTAAGTGACTTCTGACTTGATTTTTTTTTAGATGCAACACCAAAAATACAATACAGGAAGGAAAAAACTGATAAGATGAACCTTATTAAAATTAAACTTCCACTCCGCAAAAGACATTTTAAATAGAATGAAAAGACAGACCCAGACTTAGAGAAAATATTTGAATACTCAACTAATAAAAGATTTGTATATAAAATATACAAAGGATTTTTAAAACAAGCAAGCTAATTCAAAATTGGTCAAAAGATCTGAACAGACATCTTACTGAAGAAGATGTACAGGTGATAAATAAGCATATAAAAGTTGCTCAGCATCACATGTCATTATAGAATTGCAAAGTGAAATAACCAATATCAATAAAATTTTTACCTCAATAAAATTATTGCTTTATAATAATTATTTTACCTTAGTAAAACAATGAGATATCACTACTTTACTATTATAATGTCTACAACAGAAAACACTGACAACACTACATGCTGGTAGGGCTTGTAGATCAACAGGACATTTTATTTACCGCTAGTGAAAATGCAAAATGGGATAACCACTTTGGAAGATAGCTTGACAGTTTCTTAAAAAGTTAACCTTAGTCTTACCATATAATGAGTAAACACATAGCTTGATATTTATCCAAATAAGTTGAAAATTTATAAATATATAAATGTATTAATATATATTTATGTATATACAAATTTATATAAATATATAAATTGATTAAAATTTATGCCTACACAAATCCTGCACATAAATGTTTATTCCTGCCTTACTTATAACTGCCAAAAACTGGAAACAACCAAGATGGCTTCAGTAGATGATGAATAAACTATACAGTGAATTATTATTTGGTAATAAAAAAATGAGCTAACAAGTCATAAAAGATGTGAAGGAACCTTAAATGCATGTTCTAAGTGAAAGAAGCCAGTCTGAAAAAGCTACAATTTCTATGCTTCCAACTATATGCTATTCTAGAAAGGTCAAAACTATGGAGACATTTAACAAGTTGTGGTTTCCAGGGCATTGAAGGGTGGGGTAGGAGAAAAGGGATGAATATGTCAAACACTGCATTTTTACAGCAGGGAAACTATTCTGTATGATATTGTAATCAGGGATAAATGACATTATGTATCTGTCAAAACCCATAGAACTATACAGCACAAAGAGAACCACAGTGTAAGCTATGAACTTTATTTAGCAATAATGTATCAGTATTGGTAGCAATTGCAGGAGAAATTGTGTGAGGGTTGGGAGCACATAGGGGATAGAGGAGAGAGTATTTGGAACTCTGCACTATCTACTATATTTTTCTGTAAATCTAAAATTACTCTTTAAATAAAATCTATTTTTTCTTTATTTTATTTTAAAGATGTGGGGTACAAATCAGGATTAAAAATAAAATATGTTTTTTTTAAGTTGATGAATTCTATATTTCTAAAACATTACCTAGAGTTTCTTCTGAGTATTTCATATAGAAATTTATATAAATTCAGGTCAGCACAGTGGCTCACGCCTGTAATCCCAGCATTTTGGGAGGTGGAAGCGAGAGAATTTCCTGAACCTAGGGATTTGAGAATAGCCTGAAAATTAGCCAGGTGTGGTAGCACGTGCCTGTAGCTCCAGCGACTGGAAGGCTGAGGCGGAAGGATCGCCGGAGCCCAGCAGGTCGAGGCTACGGTGGCCGGGAGCCACCACTGCACTCCAGTCTGGGCGATAGAGTGAAACTCCAACTCAAAAAAAAAAAGAAGAGAAAAGAAAAGAAATTTATATAAATTCTGACTAATGATAGTACCATTTCTTTTAAAATCTTCATACTGTTTATTTCCTTTTCTTTCTTTACCTCTATAAGTAGTTATGCAATGTTGTAGAGAAGTAGAGGCAGTGGGAATCTTAAGGATATTTTCCAATATTTTATTAATTATATGTTAAATACATAATGAAACTGTAGTCTTTATTTTCATAGATGCTGTTTTTTCTGATTAAGGAAGTATAATTCTTTACTGTGATTCCTACTTACCATAAACGGATGGTAAATTTCCTTGGCTACTTTTCTGTATCTATTAAGGTAATCATATGGAGTTTCTTCTTTAATACTCTATTACTGTCTAGACAGAAATTCAATACCTCTATATTTGACCTACATGCTCACATACCTCCTAAGTTTCCTGAATCTCCTTTATTTTGGTTTTCTGATTTTTTTTTTGTTTCAGCTCATAAATGCTTTCAAGATATATTTCAATTTATTTAAATTGATATATTTATAAATATCTTATCCAGTTTTTACCCCAATCAGGAATAGAGTATAAGCCTTCTATCCAATCTGCCATCTGGACAGAAAAACAATTTCTGTCATTATTTGTCAAAGTCTCCAAACCTTTTCAAGATGTATACATGTTTTCCTTTCATTACACACCACTTGATGACTAATTTCACTTATGGAAAGAGGGCTCATTGGATAACAGATATGAATATTGCAAATATTGGGAACATCAACTTTTTTTCATATTAACTTATTGGTATAATACTTTCTTAACTATTTTTATATATGTAGATTGTCGAGAAAGTAAAAAAAAGGTTTGCAAATTAAAAACTCTGGTGAACAACATGAAATAAAGGTGAATACCAATTTAATGGGTTTAGCTTAAAGTTGCTTCATCTTTAATTTCTCTTATCATCAGAAATAAAGTAAATAGCATAAAACAATAATCTAGGAGCATGCTGAGAGGATAGCATAAAAATATAAAATGACACTAAAAAGTATTTTCAAATAACCCAAATAAATTCAAATAATATGTTCCAGTTATATAGGTAGAAAACCACATACCGAGTTTTAAAATGTAATCTTTAACTATACATGGAGGATAATTTACATAAATAATAAGAAAGAGACACCAGGCACAATGCCTGTAATCCCAGCGCACTGGGAGGCTGAGACAGGCATGTCACTTGAGACCAGGGTTAGAGATCAGTCAGGGCAACATAGTGAGACCCCATTTCTATGAACAATAAGAAAATAAATTAGCTGGACACAGTGGTGCATGGCTGTAGTTCTAGCTACTCAGGAGGCTGACGTGGAAGGACTGCTCTAGCCTAGGAGTTCAAGGCTTCAATGACATCACAAAACAAACAAAAAGAATAAGAATTATAAATTTTCTGTTCTATTTATGTCATTTGATAGAGGCAATTCCCAACATTAGACCCTCTCCTTTTTTAGGCCTCAGCTGAAAAGCCATTTTTTATAACAGAGACATTCTCTGGTTTTCTAGAATGGGTTGGATGGCCTTGGTTTATAATTCCCTTACATCCTATTATTTTCTCTTCATAACAAGCATCACATTTATGTGACTGTTCAACTTCGCCTCATGACACCTCATGAGGACAAACAGTGTCCCCATGTTTTATTTATTGCTAGATTTTTATGGCCTAGTACTGTTCTTTGTTCATTTTGAAAATCAATAAGCAGCATTTCAATCAATGAATAAATATGAACATCTCCATTAGCAGCAATTGTCACTCTAGGTTAGAAAACACTTTATGCCACTAAAGACAAAACAAAAAAAGGATGATCCAATTGCATAATTACCAAAACTACAAAAAGTAAAATGATTAGACTGATACTAAAAGGTAATTAATAGAGTCAAAGACATTTTGTGGCGGTTACTTTTATACTTTATTACTTGACTGTTTTGTAGCTTACAGTTATTTGTCAAAGAGTGCAATATGTTAGAACACTCGTCCCAAAGTCCCTCATAATACTGGCTTTCATTCAACAAGCTGGAAGATGTAGCTTACAAAAAAGTTCAAGTGTTTCAAAGAATGTCTACAAGGCACCCAATGGATAACTTATTCTCTTCTTGATTGCAATTTTATAACCTCTATGTAAATATATATCACTTTATATAAGTTAACCTGCATCCAATGTGCAGAAGATACCAAACAACATGATAAAATAAATAGTAGTGACAAATGGAGAAAATAAAGGGAAATGTGTCATGAGTTCTTATACCTGTAAGTGATGTGCTTGTGCTGCCACTTTTGTCCTGTGAGTGCATACCGCTTGCGACGAATATGAAATTTGGAGTTGCCTCTTGTCTGGTCAGGTACACCACATCGAGGCTTCTTCATCCAGCTGCAAAAAAGCAGTATTTTCCAGTTATTTAACAACAACCCTAATAGCTAAATTCAAAAGAAAATCAATTAAGAGCTTAATCGGAGACAGTGATGATAAAAACAGAAAACTATCAAGGAAAAATACCAATGTTCATGCAATTGGAATCTAATTAGATAGCGTACAATGTTTTCTGAATGATGCAGAGTCACTAGTATGCTACTCAGTTGCTTTAGATGATTTTCCTCTAGTTCCTTTTAAGCTAACTGTAAACTGAGGTCTAACTAGAATCTACTTTTAAAAAGGTATAGAGCTTTGGGCAAGTCATTAATCCCCAGTGTCTTCCCCGAATTATAGTATTTCTAAGGTAGTTACTTCTCCTTATTTATCACACTGAAAGTACTAGGAGACTAAATAAAATGAGACTAAGGTGACTTCTAACTTTAACAAACAATAATTGTTTTGACCTATTATATGACTTAACTAGGAGTCAGGAGGTATTTGCTACTCTGTTCTAACTTACATAGCAGTGAATTGTTTGTTCAAATAGCATTTGCCTTTCTCCATTTATTCTTCTTTACATTTGATTATTATTCCATTTCTAGTAGGAGTCATTTGCTTTGAATATTTAAAAATAACCAAATCCAATACTTTAAAAATAGTTTTTTTCTGAATATGAGGTTTAGCATCACAAGACTATAGTTTAACATATTTATATTAGGAAGTGAAATGTTTTCAATATATGTTTTAATACTTATACACAGAGAGAAGTTTAACTTCTCCTTCAGAGAGTTTCGTTAGATCACTGACATGCTTTCTACTTATTCCTGCATCTTGTCTAAGTAAAACAATTTTTATAATTTTTAGTTTTTCTTTAGGACTTTACAAAGTGATTTTACCATTTATTAGGTCCTTTAATTTAATAATTACAAAGTTAAGGGAGAATTCTTGTGGTGCTACATTATTCAGAAAGTGGGAATGAAAAAAGAACCCATTTTCGGTGTATTTCATCACAATTTCTATGCTTTTTAAATGGAAATAAAATGAATATAGAGATGACTATTCAAAGATGTCCATGTTATGAAAGTAAGGCTGCATGTTGCATGAGAAAATCAGTTAATCTTTTACAAACATAAGATTAGATTAATATAAAAGTGTAATGATGACTTCCACTTTTTAAGAGAGAGGGTACTTTTTAAATAAACAAGAAAAGTTTCTGCGGCTTTTAAATTCTATCCCCAGTAATGTAGACATTGCAGTTATCAGATTTAACAAATTCCCTCCTAGTTTAAACGCACTGTAGAATTACTTCAAAGAAACACCCTTGCCATTTATTAAAATCCCTAAAGCAAAAGAGACATCTTATAAATGCTAACTCTTAGGAGGCAACACAGCCCTATGGAACTGAACTCTCTAGAGGTGAGATTAGAGACCTCTTATTTTTAACTAGCACTCCCAGGGCATTCCTAAACACACTGAAATAGACTGTAAAATACTCAAGACCAGATCTAGACACTCCTAGCACATTTTACAATTCCCAGCATATAAGGGATATTCAATGAATTGAATAAATAGATAAAAACGCTTCATATTTTTAAAATAAAAAATGTTATTTTTACTGCATATTTCAAGATCTAGACATAGATTTGACCAAAAAATATTAGGTATTAATGATGTGCTTATGATGACATAAGTTACCTTTACATATCTTGTATTTCATTAATTATATTCTTCCCTGAATTATAGTATTTCTAAGGTAGTTACTTCTCCTTACTTATCACACTGAAAGTACTAGGAGAATAAATAAAATATAATTATGAAATATAAATTCATTTACTTACTGTGAGATAAGTTTACACTTACATTCAGGTAAAGAAAATATTTAAGTAAACAATTTGGGAAGAGAACAAATTTTGAAATGACAGTTGAATAAAATTTAACAAAATAGAAGAGCTATTATCAGAATAAAATGCATTTTCAGTGAGGGTATATTCTCTAAAATTACTTTAATATGAATTAAATTACTGAAGGCAGTAGTTAAAAAATTATTAATATAAATTTTCATTTTAAGTAATGAATATGTTGGCACCAGTAAAGGTTTTCTCAGGGAAGTATATGCATCTTCCAAAGGACAGAAATTTTAAGGATAAATATTAGATTCCTGTCCTATAAGATACCTCTGCTGAAATCGTTATGTATTTTTTAGGCTATTCCTCATTTCATATAGTAATTTTCTTGTTTTCCAACTGTTTGGTCATTCATTTATTCATTTCATCCTGATTTATTCACCTGATAGTATTTTTGAACCTTTACAACATGTAAGAGAGAGATGAAAGAAAGTGTGAATAAAAAGATGAAGAAGGCAAAAGTTCCTTGCTTACAGAGCTAATAGTATATAGATAAGACATGCATGATTAAAAAATGAAGGTATAATAGAATACATGCTCTAGTATCTCCATGTAGATAACCTGTCATCATCTCTTATGTTACATGTTTCTTTACAAAAAGAAAATCATGGGTATCTGCATAATCAACGTTTGTATACCTAATCCTGAATTGTACCCCACATCTTTATAATAAAAAAATAAATAAATAAAATAAAAGGCAAATAAAGCCAGAGATGAAACCAAAAAAAGAGAAAATCATGATTTTCCTATTCCAAACTTGTATCAATTCACCTGATGCTTTACTTTAGCTGAAAGCCCGAACACTTTCTAGCTCCCATGCCAGATATCCAGAACGATATCCCTTCCTTCGTATGTGGTGACCTCTGTCTAGACTGCCTTTTCCTCCTCGTTCACTGAGAATCCTAATCATTCTTCAATATTCAGTTCATGTAAGTACAGCGGCCAATACCAACATGGTAGGTGTTATAATGTGTATACTGATTTGTATGTGTCTGTCTCTATCTTCCACTGACCTGTGAGTGAGAGGAGAGTCCAGCATGAAGTCAGTGTGAAGTCTCCAACAAGAAACAGGAAAACAAATGAACTAAGTCGGTATGTCTTTTTGCATATGCTGATTTCCCCCACTCTCCTGTATGTTTCTTGAGGACTTCATAACTCCTTCCTACTCTACGTCTTGAACAAATACACTTTTATATAAAACTTAATCATACAGTAGATGAATTATATGTAAGAAATAAACATAATATATAATCTAATATGAATGAAGAATTTATGCAAAGAACTCTTAATGGAAGTTGGTCGAGTTGAGACTACATTATATAAACTTCACCAATATTTGTATCCACACATTCTGGTGCAGATATATTACAATACCAAAAATGATGTACAATACCAAAATATGTAAAATACCAAAAATATGTACAAAAATATGTACAATACCAAAAAAATGATCAAAGCACATTATGCCATTGAACATGACACATAGTATCTGAGCTAAATTGGTCTTCAAGCTTTTTATATGACTTAAAATATTTTTAAAATTATTTAATTTCATAGGCAGGCAGGTTCTTTCCTATACAACTTCTAAAGTTCTCATTAGATATAAAGAATAGTCAGTGTTTAACAAACTTATCGATGCATTAACTATTGAGTAATAAAAATGTTAATCTTTAGATATAAAGAACAGTCAGTGTTTAACAAACTTATCAATACAGTAAATGTTGAGTAATAAAAATGTTCATTTTTTTATTCAGGTAGAATCTGGCAGTTGGATTCATTTATATTTGCTGTTAGAGTAATATGAATTTATTATGTACCAAAATATTACTTGTATTTAAATATCAGTTTGATAAATCCCATACATATCTGTACATAAAATCAGAAATTAATGTTACATATGAATATATAAATATAAATATAAACATAAACATGAATATATAGTTTGCCTATTACCAAATACAAACTGTATAAAATCTAACATTTAGTTCCCTCCATTGTTTTTAGCTTTTCAATAATATACTATTTTTAGACAGTGCTTTTTAGTGAGAGTTGTTGTTCAAATATATTTATATTTTCAGTTTGTGTCAACATACAACTCATAGAGGTGTGCTTTTTCTTTACTGATTCATTTGCTAAAAATTTTAGTCGACATTCCAAAGCAAACAAACACATTGGAAAGAGACACTGGAGAAAGAGTAATGACAAATAATGGCAGGGAATCAATTTTAATATATATGAAACTGATATTAAATACTGATTTAATTTTTTGAAACCTAGAGCATTTTTAAATTAGTAGAGCAAATGGTTAATTATTTCATTTATATTAACTAAACTTAGAAAAAAAATATCTAAAATCAGTGTAAAAATTGAGACCAGCAATCTTGGCACCAAACTGTAGAGTTCCCAGTCTCGCTCTACTGACTCACTAGCTCTATAACATTTGTGTCTTTTTGTGTCTCAATTTTCTCACCTATAAAATTAGACTGATAATATTACCTCTCTTATTAAGTTTTTGTGTGAATTAGATTAAATCATCTGAAACCATTTGAATCACATCTACCAGATAGTAACTGCAATTATTAACTTAAAATTCTAGCTATAGTTTTCATTGTAAAGGTCCTTCACTTCTCTGCTTAGGAAGATGCCAAGGTCTCTCTCTCTTTCTTTCTTTTTTCCTTCCTTCCTTTCTTCCTTCCTTCCTTCCTTCCTTTGCTATTGTGAATGAGATTATGCTTTGTATTTGGCTCTCTGCGTGTTTGTTGTTGGTGTTTAAAAATGCAACTGTCTGCTGGGCTCAGTGGCTCAGCCTGTAATCCCGCGCTTTGGGAGGCTGAGGTGAGTTGATTGCCTGAGCCTGCGGGTTCAAGACCCGCCTGGGCAACTTGGTGAGACCTCATCTCTATAACAAATCAAAAATTAGCAGGGCGTGGTAGCATGCGCCTGTAGTTCCAGCTACTTGGAAGGCTGAGGTGGAAGGATCACCGAAGCCCAGCAGGTCGAGGCTGCGTTGGCTGGGAGCGGCCACTGCACTCCAGTCTGGGTGACAGAGTGAGACTCCAACTCAAAAAAAAAAAAAAAAAAAAGAATGCAACTGTCTTTTGCATGTTGATTTTG